TTCTAAGTGCATCAAGTTATATATTATATATACAGTATATGTCATCGTCAGTATCATCATGTATATTCTATGCATTGTATATCATCTTCATCATCATTATCCTTATCATCATTATCATTATCATCATTATTATCATTATCATCACCACCATCACCATCATCATCATCATCACCATCATCATCATGTTTCAATTTGTACATTCTATATATTCATGTCATCGTCATCATTATCATCATCATCATCATCATCCCCGTCATCATCATGTTTCAATGTGTACATTCTATATATTTATGTCATCGTCATCATTATCACCATCATCATCATCATCATAACTCAAGATGTATTCTCCGTGGTTATGCCCATTTCCTTTAACTGTTTAATGACATATTAATACCTACTGTGCCTTTAAGAGTGAACATTGCGGTACTAATGTTTTTTGTTATTAGTTTTGCTTAATATCACCGTAATCTTTATCATCATCCTTATTATTATTATTATTATTATTATTATTATTATTGTTATTGTTATTGTTGTTATTATCATTATTTTTATTATTATTATTATTATTATTATTATTATCATTATTATTATTATTATTATTATTATCATTATTATTATTATTATTATTATTATTATTATTATTATTATTATTATTATTATTATTATTATTATTATTATTATTACTACTACTACTATTATTATTATTATTATCATTATTATTATTGTTGTTGTTGTTGTTGTTGTTACTATTATCATCATTATTATTATTATCATTATTATCATTATCATTAATACCATTATTATCATTATCATTACTTGTATTATTATTATTGTTGTTGTTGTTTTTGTTTTTGATCATTATTACAATTATCACCATTTATTTTCATAATTACCGTTCATATTGCTGTTGTTATCATCATCATCATCATCATCATCATCGTCACCGTCATCATCATTAGTATCATTATTATCATATAATTATCACATGATCCCTTCTATTTCAGCTATTTTTCTCTTTCATCATCACTATTAGTCACCGTGACCACAGTAATGAGGAATTCCCTAATTAATCATATTATAATTACCACTGTAACTGAAATTAATATAATGACTGTCATTACTGCACAAGGGATTAATCACCAGTGGAAATACAAAATAGCATTATATTAAATTGAAAATCAGCCATCCAATATATATATCTAAAAATATATATATACTGATATTAATACTAATATTTATCATTACTGTCATCATCGATATCTTGAAACTCTCCTTTGTCACTATCATCATTATCCTTCTTATATTCACCATCATCGTCCTTCCTGTAGTTTTCACTGTCATTCCTTGTCTCCTTCGTCACCATCAACGTCACCGTGTCATTTATTCCTTCCCTCCTTCGTCACCATCAAAATCATCATCATTATCATCCATTCCCTTATACGTCACTATTACCATCACATTTCCTTACATTTTCCTTACACTTTCATCATCGTCATCATCATCTTCCCTTCTCTTCATTTTCTATCGCCCATCCCTCTCCCTTTCCCTTTCTCCCTCTTTACCTTATTCACTCTCCTTCCCCTCCCCTTCCTTACTCTTACTCACTCTCTCCTCTCCCCATTTCTCTCTCCGGCCTTACCTACATCCCTCCCCTTCCTCTCTCCTTACCCTACTCACGCCCCCCCCTCCTCCCTCTTCCCCCTCCTTACCTTTCCTCACACTCATCACCTTCATATTCTTTACATCTCCCCTTACCTTACTTACCCTAACCCATAGCCCTTTCCTCCTTACCCCTACACTTCCCCCTTCTTACCATTACCCACACCCCTCCCCCTCCACCCCCTTACCCTTATTCACATCCCTCCCCTATCCACACACCCCTTCCCCCTTCTTATTTTACATATAGCCTTTCCCATTTCCCTTCTTACCTCTCCCCTTCCTCTCCCCTTCCCTCCCCCACTCACACACACCCTTCCCCCTTCTTACCTTACCCCAACCCCTCCCCATTTCCCTCCTTCCCCCTCTCCTTCCCCCTTGTTACCTTACCCACACCCCTCCCCCTTCCCCTCCTTCCCCCTCTCCTTCCCCACTCACACACACCCTCCCCCTTCTTACCTTACCCCCCCACCATTTCCCTCCTCCCCCCTCTTCTTCCCCCTTCTTACCTTACCCAAACCCCTCCCCCTTTCCCCTCCTTCCCCTTCCCTTCCCCCTTCTTACCTTACCCCCCCTTCCCTTCTTCCCCTCCCCTTTCCCTTCCCCCCTTCTTACCTTACCCACATCCCTCCCCCTTTCCCCTCCTTCCCCTTCCTTCCCCTTTCTTACCTTACCCAAACCCCTCCCCACTTCCCCTCCTTCCCCTTCCCCTTCTCCCTTCTTACCTTACCCAAACCCCTCCCCCTTTCCCTCCTTCCCCTTCCCCTCCCCCCTTCTTACCTTACCCACACCCCTCCCCCTTTCCCCTCCTTCCCCTTCCTTCCCCTTTCTTACCTTACCCAAACCCCTCCCCCTTTCCCCTCCTTCCCCTTCCCCTTCCCCCCTTCTTAACTTACCCAAACCCCTCCCCCTTTCCCCTCCTCCCCCTTCCCCTCCCCCCCTTCTTACCTTATCCAAACCCCTCCCCATTTCCCCTCCTCATCTTACCCACACAAACCCCGTCCTTCTACAGGTGCTGTTAATGACGTACCAGCGCTCGGGGTCTTCCTTCGTCGGGGAGCTCCTGACCTCCGGGGGCGGCGCCATGTACGTGTACGAGCCCCTGTTCCTCTGGCGCGCCCTCCTGGGACCCGGAGCTGACGTGGGCGTGGAGGAGAGGGCGGCTAGGGCTCTTGGGGACCTCCTAGACTGCAAGCCTGAGGTGGGGTATTGCTGCTGTTGCTATTAATGTTTCTGTTGTTATTGATATCATTATTATTAGTAGTATTGTTATGATTATTATTATTGTTGTTGTTGTTGTTGTTCCTAATTTTATTATTATTATCATTATTATTTTTTTTTATTATCATTATTAGTAGTAGTAGTATTTTTATTATCATTATTATTATCAGGGTCAGTTATAATTGTTATTATTATTATTTTCATTATCATTATCAGTATTATCATTATCATTATTCATATCATCATCATCGTCATTATCATCACCATGATTATTATCATTATTATCATATAATAATTATCACATGATCCCTTCTATTTCAGTTATTTTTCTCTTTCATCATCACTATTAGTCACCGTGACCACAGTAATGAGGAATTCCCTGATTAATCATATTATAATTACCACTGTAACTGAAATTAATATAATGACTGTCATTACTGCACAAGGGATTAATCACCAGTGGAAATGCAAAATAGCATTATATTAAATGAAAATCAGTCATCCAATATATATATCTAAAAATATATATATACTGATATTAATACTAATATTTATCATTACTGTCATCATCGATATCTTGAAACTCTCCTTTGTCACTATCATCATTATCCTTCTTATATTCACCATCATCGTCCTTCCTGTAGTTTTCACTGTCATTCCTTGTCTCCTTCGTCACCATCAACGTCACCGTGTCATTTATTCCTTCCCTCCTTCGTCACCATCAAAATCATCATCATTATCATCCATTCCCTTATACGTCACTATTACCATCACATTTCCTTACATTTTCCTTACACTTTCATCATCGTCATCATCATCTTCCCTTCTCTTTATTTTCTATCGCCCATCGCTCTCCCTTTCCCTTTCTCCCTCTTTACCTTATTCACTCTCCTTCCCCTCCCCTTCCTTACTCTTACTCTCTCCTCTCCCCATTTCTCTCTCCGGCCTTACCTACATCCCTCCCTTTCCTCTCTCCTTACCCTACTCACGCCCCCCCCCCCTCCTCCCTCTTCCCCCTCCTTACCTTTCCTCACACTCATCACCTTCATATTCTTTACATCTCCCCTTACCTTACTGTACCCTAACCCACAGCCCTTTCCCTCCTTACCCTTCCCCGTCCCTCTTCTTACCTTTACCCCACACCCCTCCCCCTCACCCCCTTACCCTTATTCACATCCCTCCCCAACCACACACACCCTTTCCCCCTTCTTACCTTACCCAAACCCCTCCCCACGTCCCCCTCCTTCCCTGTTCCCTTCCCCCCTTCATACCTTACCCAAACCCCTCCCCATTGTCCCCTCCCCCCTCCCCCTCCCCACCCCTTCTTACCTACCCAAACCCCTCCCCACTTCCCCTCCTCATCTTAACCCACACAAACCCCGTCCTTCTACAGGTGCTGTTAATGACGTACCAGCGCTCGGGGTCTTCCTTCGTCGGGGAGCTCCTGACCTCCGGGGGCGGCGCCATGTACGTGTACGAGCCTCTGTTCCTCTGGCGCGCCCTCCTGGGACCCGGAGCTGACGTGGGCGTGGAGGAGAGGGCGGCTAGGGCTCTTGGGGACCTCCTAGACTGCAAGCCTGAGGTGAGGTATTGCTGCTGTTGCTGTTAATGTTATTATTGTTATTAATATCATTATTATTATTATCATTATCGTTATTATTATTATTATTGTTATTATTATTATTATTATTGTTGCTGTTGTTGTATTATTATATTATCATTATTTTTTTTATTATCATTATTATTTTCTCTTTTTAATTATTATTATTATCATTATTATCAGGGTCAGTTATAATTGTTAGTTTCATTATTATCATTATCATTATTAGTATTATCATTTTAATTATTCATATCATCATCATCATTATCATCACCATGATTATTATTATTATTATTATTATTATTATTATTATTATTATTATTATTATTATTATTATTATTATTATTATTATTATTATTATTATTATTAATACCATTATTATCATTATCATTGTATTATTATTATTATTGTTGTTATTGTTGTTTTTGTTTTTGATCATTATTACAATTATCACCATTTATTTTCATTATTACTGTTCATATTGCTGTTGTTATCATCATCATCATCATCATCGTCATCGTCATCGTCATCATCATTAGTATCATTATTATCATATAATAATTATCACATGATCCCTTCTATTTCAGTTATTTTTCTCTTTCATCATCACTATTAGTCACCGTGACCACAGTAATGAGGAATTCCCTAATTAATCATATTATAATTACCACTGTAACTGAAATTAATATAAATGACTGTCATTACTGCACAAGGGATTAATCACCAGTGGAAATGCAAAATAGCATTATATTAATGAAAATCAGTCATCCAATATATATTATCTAAAAAATATATATATACTGATATTAATACTAATATTTATCATTACTGTCATCATCGATATTTTGAAACTCTCCTTTGTCACTATCATCATTATCCTTCTTATATTCACCATCATCGTCCTTCCTGTAGTCTTCACTGTCATTCCTTGTCTCCTTCGTCACCATCAACGTTACCGTGTCATTTATTCCTTCCCTCCTTCGTCACCATCAAAATCATCATCATTATCATCCATTCCCTTATACGTCACTATTACCATCACATTTCCTTACATTTTCCTTACACTTTCATCATCGGTCATCATCATCTTCCCTTCTCTTCATTTTCTATCGCCCATCCTCTCGCCCTTTCCCTTTCTCCCTCTTTACCTTATTCACTCCCCTTCCCTCCCCTTCCTTACTCCTTACTCACTCTCTCCTCTCCCCATTTCTCTCTCAGCGGCCTTACCTACATCCCTCCCCTTCCTCTCTCCTTACCCTACTCACGCCCCCCCCTCCTCCCTCTTCCCCTCCTTACCTTTCCTCACACTCATCACCTTCATATTCTTTACATCTCCCCTTACCTTACTTACCCTAACCCATAGCCCTTTTCCTCCCTACCCCTACACTTCCCTCTTCTTACCATACCCACACCCCTCCCCCTCCACCCCCTTACCCTTATTCACATCCCTCCCCTATCCACACACCCCCTTCCCCCTTCTTATTTTACATATAGCCTTTCCCATTTCCCTTCTTACCTCTCCCTTCCTCTCCCCCTTCCCTCCCCCACTCACACACACCCTTCCCCTTCTTACCTTACCCCAACCCCTCCCCATTTCCCTCCTTCCCCCTCTCCTTCCCCCTTGTTACCTTACCCACACCCCTCCCCCTTCCCCTCCTTCCCCCTCTCCTTCCCCACTCACACACACCCTCCCCCTTCTTACCTTACCCCCCCACCATTTCCCTCCTCCCCCCTCTTCTTCCCCCTTCTTACCTTACCCAAACCCCTCCCCCTTTCCCCTCCTTCCCCTTCCCTTCCCCTTCTTACCTTACCCCCCCCTTCCCTTCTTCCCCTCCCCTTTCCCTTCCCCCCTTCTTACCTTACCCACATCCCTCCCCCTTTCCCCTCCTTCCCCTTCCTTCCCCTTTCTTACCTTACCCAAACCCCTCCCCACTTCCCCTCCTTCCCCTTCCCCTTCTCCCTTCTTACCTTACCCAAACCCCTCCCCCTTTCCCTCCTTCCCCTTCCCCTCCCCCCTTCTTACCTTACCCACACCCCTCCCCCTTTCCCCTCCTTCCCCTTCCTTCCCCTTTCTTACCTTACCCAAACCCCTCCCCACTTTCCCCTCCTTCCCTTTCCCTTCCCCCCTTCATAACTTACCCAAACCCCTCCCCATTTCCCCTCCTCCCCCTTCCCCTCCCCCCCTTCTTACCTTACCCAAACCCCTCCCCACTTCCCCTCCTCATCTTACCCACACAAACCCCGTCCTTCTACAGGTGCTGTTAATGACGTACCAGCGCTCGGGGTCTTCCTTCGTCGGGGAGCTCCTGACCTCCGGGGGCGGCGCCATGTACGTGTACGAGCCTCTGTTCCTCTGGCGCGCCCTCCTGGGACCCGGAGCTGACGTGGGCGTGGAGGAGAGGGCGGCTAGGGCTCTTGGGGACCTCCTAGACTGCAAGCCTGAGGTGAGGTATTGCTGCTGTTGCTGTTAATGTTATTATTGTTATTAATATCATTATTATTATTATCATTATCGTTATTATTATTATTATTGTTATTATTATTATTATTATTGTTGCTGTTGTTGTATTATTATATTATCATTATTTTTTTTATTATCATTATATTTTGTTTTATCATTATTATTATTATCATTATTATCAGGGTCAGTTATAATTGTTAGTTTCATTATTATCATTATCATTATCAGTATTATCATTATCATTATTCATATCATCATCATCGTCATTATCATCACCATGATTATTATCATTATTATTATTATTACTATCATTATTATTATCATTATTATTATTATTATTATTATTATTATTATTATTATTATTATTATTATAAAGATAGAGAGAGAGAGAGAGGGGGAGGGAGAGAGAGAGAGAGAGAGAGAGAGAGAGAGAGAGAGAGAGAGAGAGAGAATAGATAAATAGATAGAGAATGAGAGAGGGATACAAACAGACAGAGAGGAGAAAGGAGATAAATCAACCCCTCCCTTTCACCCTCTCATCCTTTTCTTACTCTCACCCTCC